ATATATATATATATATATATATATATATATATATATATATATATGATTATCATAATTAATACGGAGAATGCAAGTAGGCTAAATATTCATATTAAAATCGATAAATAACTTGATAAAAAGCCACACTTTGGAGCGAATTAATTTCTTAAAAAACCTTTTCACTTCAGGTCGGGGCGTAGAGGCGTCATTGGAGTGTGTGGATTGAGCCAAACAAAAACTTAAACGGCTTGATGATTTAAATAAAAATAGCAAGATTATGTTATGATTCTGTTATCTATAAGATAGAAAATTATATCTCGTCTTCTCTATTTTTCGCAAGGTTATATTTTCTGCATTTCTAGATACAGAGTAACAGAAGCCTAGTTTATTTTTTCTCCGAAAATGGGGGGTTGGGTTGAAGAGGGGGGTGGGTGAATGACATCCCTGCTTCATGCTTTCGGAGAAATTATATTTGAGCACAAAATAAAACAATAGAAACTAGCCCAAAATGACGCATACAACTTACAACACATGACCTACGACTATGCTAGCTGCCGATCGCCTTCTCTAATGACCATTATTTGGATTTCCCTATGAACTACTAAACTAAGTCTCACACCTCATACAAAAGTAACAATCCACAATACTTTTAGACATTGAACAAAGAAATAATTTGTTTATTGAATTAAAAAGAGACTTAGAAAATTAGTGGCTTAAAATATTAAATGCTGTTAAGTTACAATTTTATGAAGAAAGAACGTTAAAATTCAACATTTATTTTTTAAGATTTTCGGATTGTACGGTATAAATAACTATTAAAGTCCATGGCTCCAATGTTTTTATGACTTATAATCAATTTTGCGAGCACCAGCCCAGATTTGGGAACCTTCCTCTAAAATATTGTATAATTCAAATTGTACTGTTTTTTATTGTAAAAAGAAATGTGTAGACTCTAACTCCCCCCACCCACCCACTTTTTGCGGTAAAAAATGCATCCTGGTTTGTACATTTTTCTTCAGTTGATTTTATGCCAACCTCTAAAATATTGTATAATTGTATTCTTTTATAATGTAACAAAAGAAATGTATAACTCCCTCCACCCGACCCCTTTTTTTACATTAAAAAAATGCATCATGGTTTTACATGGTTCTATAGTTGATATTATGCCAAAATACATAGAAAAACTTAGAGTAGCTACCCTTGACAATTTCCTGTTTAAATCCAATATGGTTGTCTCCGTCTGATTTAAGTGTCCATTATTAATACAGATTCAAAATTTTAAAAATGGAAAGGTATTTAGATTTAGAATACAGAGGCGAGGGTAACTGTGCTATAGTTTTTGCCAATCCCAAGGTATGTATGGTCATTTTTCAATTGATATAATATTTGGGTAAACTCATTATTGCGTAGTAAACGTAAAGAAAATAATCCTGCCACTACCACTGGTCAGCTATAATATAGTCAAAACAGTACACTACACGCTTAGTAAGCTCGGCTTAGGTTAGGCCTAGTACCTATTACTATAACAGTGACTACATTGTCTACTCTACTAACTACTACTACTACAACTGAGACAGTAGTCAGTAGTCCTACTTAGTAACAACCCCATTGGACCCCCCCCCCCCCCCCTCAGTTCTGTAGACAGCACATTATACGCCAAAATCGTAAGAGTAAACAGGTCTGCTATTATATGAACATAGTCACATAGTGCATTAGTCATCGTAGATCATAGGATGATGGGATAGTGATCTCAGTGGCGTTTCGAGGGGGGGTGCGGACCGCACCGGGTGACACCATTTTAGGGGTGACACCCAATTGAAAAATTGCATATTTACAGAGCACACACTGCTTGGTCTAACCGAGATTCATAAAAGGATAACCGATCACACCTACATTTTTTCACAAATTTTACCAATCTAAATGCGTGCTTTATTGAAAGTTCAAGGTTGATGCGTCAGAATGACATGACACTATGTTTAGGTCAGAAAAACACGGTCATTATTCCACGCCCATCTAAGTGTTCGGCAACCTCCGTAAGTGACAGGAGGCTATATGTATCTAAATTCTGAGAAATAGGGCTTTCCATTGACGCCAAATACGGTGTGGTTGGGTAATTCAAGTATAAGAATCAGTAAAAATTTAAAAAAACATCAAAAATGAATTTTTACCCATTCAAATGGTTTAAAAATATAGTATTTCACAAAATTGTCAATCTTTTAATTATCAATTCTTATTTATTGAAATTTAAATAAAATGTAACATATATAATATATATCGTAACCCAGAAATACTCAACAATTAATAGTTGCCCCGATTCGTCTCTAGTATTGCCCCTTATTTTTTTTAGCACAACTGTCATATTTCGACAGCGCGGTTTTACCTTTCGGTGTTGTATTTTGGACAGTACTCTGACTGTTCTTTTTGAACTGTCATCAGTAATTATTTTGTTTGTTGTCTTGAACATGACAAAATTAAAGCATTTTTATGGTTCAAGATGATTATATCATGCCATACGGTGTGCACAAGTATAAACGGCCAAGTGGCTGTCAGCAGTGAAAAGCAAAAAGCTGAAATGATGACTGATCATGTTGATTCAAACCAAGATACTGGAAAATATGGAGTGCCTAGTTTAGAACAAGGACGGACTATTCAGCGTAATGACAAGGCAAAATGCGAAATCTAAACGAGGTTTTTGCCACCTAACAAAACAATGGATCTACTGGATGATGCAAAATGGCGAGACAATACTGCGGTCGTGGATGGTTTATTCACTCGTCAGTCAGAAATTGTAATGTTTTTCCTGCTGATTGTTTGCTGTTAATGATACAGATCCAACATCCAAATTTGTTACTGGC